AATCAATAATATTTAGACATCCATAATATCCATTTAATTAATTTTCCTTTTTATATCATTTTTAATCAAAAAAAAATTATTTTAGATGGTGTAAACATTCTTGTTCGAAGGTTCTTCCACTCTAAATTAATTCTTTACTTTTTTTATTTTTTATTAAGCGTTATAAAAAAAGTTCGGGACTTTTCGACTCAGTTTTTGGTAAGGAATGACGCTATGTACTTAGTGGGCGGTCATTACTGGTCACCCTGTATATAAAACTTTAAAATATCTCTTCTATAAACTATTGCATTTATTAAATATAATATCATATAATTAATAATATCATACATTCAAATAAATATTTAAAAAAAGTCTATTAAGAATGAGATACAATAGCAATTTAAAAAAAGAAGATAAATCTTCGAAAACTTGGACTCGACATCTAGTTTTCAAAGCGATAGAGTAATAAGCACTTTCTCTTGAGCAAATGTGTATTGTTAAAATTGATGTCAACGTTATCAATATACTTATATAACATATAACATTCTCACATAAAACTTTATAAACTTTTTATTTCTACATTACAAATATCATTTGTAATTGCTTGAAATGCTTTTGTTTAAGGATAATAGATAAGGTAAAAAATATTTTTTGCAGATGTTATTTTGTATTAGAGAAAGAAATTAATTTTATTTATCATACTCGACATTATAAAGATTACAAAATTATACACAATAATTTATTTTGTTTTACAAGGATTGTTTTATTCACTACAATTTTTACAATTTACAATTTACTCTAGAATAAATTTAGTTTCTTAAAGTCTAAAGTTATTATTTATTTCTCTCTTTTGCGAGAATAATATTTTACATGTGCGCGTATATAAAATAATTTCAATACTTATAAAAAAATATTTTAATATAATAACATATATTATACATATATAATATACATTATACATATATTTTACATTAGATGATATACATAAAATAATTATAATAATTTCAATAACACATATACCGTCCATAATATGTATTAAAATAAAAATAAATCACGCGCAGCTAACATAAAATATTAACAAATCTATAATATTTTCGTATTTTTGATTAAAACGGCCGATTGATGTATGTCCATGCTAGATCTATAATTGTGGATCTAGCATGGACATGCACCAATCGATCGTTTTGCCATGGCACCGAAAAGTGGATCCGGCCACATAGTTCCGGCGGCTCTAAAATGGATCCAGTTAACGCCACTGTACCGGCTAGAGAAAGCGTTACAGGAAAAACGGCGGCGTGGCCCCTCTCAGGTTTCTCTCTAATATAATCGGCCCCCACTCCTTAAATAAAGGCAAACGCTCGGTCTAGATATACTATGTCTATGGCTATCTGTCTATTAATCTATGGTACTACCTGGTACTATCGAAAAGATCGAAAAGTGGATGTAGCACGGATATGAACCAAATGACCGACAGTATCGAAAAGTGGATGTAGCACGGACATGAACCATATGGAGATTTGACCGACAGTACCGAAAAGTGGATGTGGGTAAGTGTTTCCAATTCCTAAAAGTGGATG